GAAGAAGCTGCATTTTCTTACTAAGAGAGGCAGTCGATGGCTGATAGATGCCGTGAAACAAGGGCTCCGCGAGATGGGAATCGATTATGGCGAGCATAAGTATGAGCCTTCGATTGTGTGCCGCATCAATCAACAGCGTGACGGTGTGGTTTTCTCTGAAGGGATCGAGATCGGCTTCAGCAAGCTCCCATTCCGTGATGTCTATGGAATCAAGATTTCGCATGTGAAGTGGGCGACGCGACGATTCCTGACATATGGCTCTCACGACACGGCCGATTTTAGGAACATCGTGAAGGCTTTTCTGGAGAGGGCGGAGGCGGAGGCAGACCTTCCGAAGTCGACGCACGATGTGCAACATGGAAGTATGGGCGTACACCCGTCAGCGTCCCATGCATCGCCAGGCCTTAAGAGACCGTCTTACGCTTGAGTTGTGGCGAATGTTCTGCTTTCAGCACACATTATCGGAACAACTCTGAGAGTGTTACCAGTCAAGAGCGCGCTCTGAACTCTGCTAATCAATCCTGCGGCGTCACCAATAGTCCCAGGTTCCCCACATGAGCTTTGTGTCGGCCTCTAACATTCAGCGCGCTTCATGGGAAACGGCATCATCTGGCGCTGATACTACATTGCCGTTGGATATGGTCCACGCGTTCTGAGGAACAGGTAGGGGTCCGTAGGCATCTGAGGTCGTGACACGCCGGGGCTACCCAGACATCTTTGATGTGTTGTTTTCTTTTGCTTTCTCTCGGACATCAGCAGCGGCTCTAGAACTCAGCCCCTGCATGATATTGCGAGGTTCGGGAACCGATGACAGCCATCCCAAAGGGAATCTCAGTGTAGTACACCGCGTAAACTTTGGGGGCTAGCCGCCTCACAAAAGAATCGACATTATCATCGCAACCGTACTCGCTCATCTCGGGCAACCACGACTTGAGACATCCATCCCGTCATTTGCGCCCAACGACCAAATTGTGTTTTGCGGTGGTGTCAACACATTCAAGGGCCAAACCTCGCCGCAGTCTGGCGTCCTACATAGGCCCCAGGAGGCGGCGTGACTCTTGGCACTAGGGGCCGAGATTTGCACTGTGGGTGACTTTGCGAAATGACTGTCAGCCTGACCCGCCGAAGTTCCAACAGCCTCCTGAACCAAACTTCTACAGCTTTCCATGTTCGACGATCCGTAGCGCGCAGGCAAGGAGTGGATGTGTACTGTCCTGCTATCGGTGGACTGTATCATCAACCCCGCTGCTGACGTTCTACGGCGCCTTTATCTGCACATGGCCGATAACGAGATCGACCCGCAAGGCGCAAACTCGTTTAATTAAGGCTCCGTACCTGAATTAGTGTTGTCTGAGAAAAGCGCCATCCACTTGGGTAGCGGGTGAGCTTACCAGAACCCCGACTAGGGTCTCGCTAAATTAGTCGGTTTGTGTTTCATGTTTCAGCGGCACAACCTCAACGCTGCCTTGATTGGCCTGTGGTGCCTGATGCTGACAGCATCTTCGGAACCCAGCGTTACTGCTAGGAAACAGAACAGCGGGCTCGAACGCCCGTACGATCGATGCAGGGAACGAAACCCGTAACGGCGGCAAAGCGGATGCAGACCCCAGGGATATCGATGTTTGCAGGAGTCAGGTGTAATGAGGATTCGGGGGATGTGCACCACTGGTCTAGGCTAAGCTCGTGAATCAAAAGCGTCGAGCCGCCGCCCTCGAATAGGCTTTCTTCCTTCATCTTCGACCACACACGAGGATCTCTTCTTCAAAACCCAACTTTCTGTCTCTCCTTCCAGGGCGCTCGGCTGCCTATTCCATTCCTTCATTGTCGCTAGTCGGCATATTCATTCATTCACCTGTACATTGTGTCCCAGTGACCAAACAACGTCGTCCTTGTGTTATTCTATCACAATTATCTTCCCAGATAAACAATTACTCTACTTCGTATACGATCATCAACCGAGTTACTTTCACGATGAAGACCCAATCTATGCTCCTCGCGGCCCTGGCGTCAGCCCCCGCTGCCCTTGCCCACACTGTCTTCACAGACTTCATGATCGATGGCATGCCTCAGGTTTGTTTTCCCAATCTTTCCAGATGCAGTCTACTAACAGAAAGTAGGGTGATGGTGTCGCCATCCGCATGAACCCCAACGCTGCCAAGGCTAGCAGCCCCGTTCCCAGCCTCGACAGTGACGACATGGCCTGCAATGTCGGTGGTACGAAGGGTGTTTCTCGTGTCCAGCCCGCCAAGGATGGTTCCCTTATCACGTTCGAGATCCGCTCATGGCCCAACGACCCCACCAAGGAGCGTCTTGACCGCGGTCACGTAGGTCCCTGTGCCGTGTACCTGAAGAAGGTCTCCGATGCCAGCACTGACACGGCTGCTGGTGACGGTTGGTTCAAGATCTTTGACCACGGCTACGACTCATCCACCGACCGCTGGTGCACCGATGAGATCATTGATAACAATGGTCTCTTGTCCGTGAACCTCCCCAAGGGCCTTGAGGGCGGTGACTACCTTGCTCGCCCCGAGATCCTTGCTCTCCACGCCGCGAAGGACGGAGACCCACAATTCTACACTGGCTGCGCCCAGATCTTCGTTGAGAGCAGCGGAAACCTGGTTCCCGAGAGCACTGTTTCCATCCCTGGCTACGTCAAGTACAACGAGCCATCCACCGACTTCGACATCTACAACAAGGATGCCAAGGACTACGTTATCCCCGGCCCCAAGGTCGCCAAGCTCACAGCCGGCGGTATGAAGAAGGCTTCGACCGTGCAAACTGCGGGCCTGAAGCCCGAAGGCTGCATCATGGAGAACGCCAACTGGTGCGGCAAGGAGGTCTCTTCATACAGCACCGAGAAGGGCTGCTGGGCTTCCGCTACCGAGTGTTGGGACCAGGCCGATGTCTGCTACGACGAGGCCCCCGCAACCGGTAACGCAGGCTGCAAGCTCTGGCAGGAGAAGTGCAAGGACATCAACGCACAGTGCACGGCCATGAACTTCAACGGTCCTCCCAACAAGGGCAAGATCCTTACTCCCGAGAAGAAGAGCATCGATGTTGGCAAGATCATGGCTGTTAATGGTGGTGGTATCGTGGATGCGCCTGCACCCAAGACCAGCTCCACCAAGCAGTACGAGGCACCTGCGAAGGCTTCCCCCAAGCCTGCAGCTGACAAGGCCACCCCTGCTGCGCCCAAGCCTACGGTCGATGAGTCGTACGAGAGCCCTCCCATTGTTGAGCAGCCCGTTGCTGCTGCTCCCAAGCCTACGCAGCAGCCTACGACGCTTTCCAAGGCACCCGTCTCCACCATCACTGTTGCCCCTTCGTCTGCGAACGCGCCTGCGCCTACCCAGCCGTCGTGCCCTGAGGGATACAAGTGTGTGTATGTCACGGACGTCGAGGTTGTCACCGAGACTGTCTACGTGACTGCTACATACGATGGGTACAAGAGGAGGCACATCATGTACCGCGCTTAGATGTACGGTACTGAGACGTGTTATGTGGAGTTAGAGGGAAAAGGACAAAACGATTACTTTCTGCGACGACGATCGCGAGCTGATAAGCTCTGTTTGGGATGAGGTTTGCTTTTTTAGCTACGAATGATAAATGTTCACTTGTCGCAAACCTGAGATCTGAATGCGTGCCTATTTCTCTCCTTCGATTGTCCGCATCTTGACGCTTCCGTCCTCCATGCCGAAGTATACAGCGACAGGCTTTTGACCACCTCGTACGGTCTTGGTCAATTGGTCCTGCTCGCGAAGTTCCTGTGCATCAATTCCGTTCAGGCCGGAGAAGATGCCGACTTCCAATACACCAGTCAAGCCCTTGATAGCCTTGCTTATCGTGTTGACCTCCCATGTACCATCTGTTCCATCGCCCTTGCCCTTGCCAGCTGCAACGTCCGCCGAAGTGAGCAAAGCAGGGAACGGCGCGTCAATAATGTAAAAGTCCTGGTCTGTCTTCAGGGGCCCCGACTTCTCCAGTAGCGTAGTCCTTAGCTTAGGGCCCGTTGAACCAAGCATCTTAAGCGCAGCAGCGACCTTGAGCTGAGACAGCGGCGCAACCTCAATTGGTATCGTCGGCCAGTTGGTCAGCAGGCGCTCTTGTCTCTTTCGGTAGTCTGCGACACAGACGAACTTCTTCGCGCGCTCGGCGACTAGCTTCTCCTGGAACAGACACGCACCTCCTCCTTTTATGCAGTTGAGCTCTGCGTCGACCTCGTCAGCTCCATCGAAAGCGACATCGAGCATTACGCGATCCGGAAGACTGTCGAAAGAGATGGCGGTCAGGCCGGCGTTGACTACGAGTTGGCGCGATTGGAAACCTGTGGGCACGAAGAGGATGTTCGGGTTCGTGGAGCGCTCTTTAATGGCCTCGACGACATAGACGATGGTTGTTCCCGAACCAATTCCAACGTGGGTGGCTGCTGGGTCGAAGTGGTCTGCTACTGCTTGGTGCGCTGCAGCGCGCTTTGCGGCTTCAACCGTTGTGTCCGTCATATTGTTTGCGTGTCCGAGGACTCCCGTGGAATGGAAAGTCCGGTATGAAGGATGGGGATGGTGAATTGGTACTGCAGAAGGAGATTTGCCGGTGGTCCAGGTGCTGGCTCGGTGTACAAGAGATCTAGAATTTGACAGTGGTCGGAGGGGCAGTCGAGACTTGAGATGACTGATGCTGCGCACTTGCTGATTTATATTGGCGGGCCAGACGTGGTTCGGCTTCAGCGGCATGAACTAGAATATGAATCTTTCTAGTAACGCTAGAGTCGATTGGAGAGACGGCAGTGAGGCGCGATAAGATGGCGGGATGAATGATTTTCCCGTGACGAGAGGATTGAGCTGGTGCCAAAATGACGATTTGAGCCCCACCAGGACCCCGCGACAGGGATGTGCCCTTAGCGCGCGGGCTGGCAGCGCGTTTGGTGCCTGGCAGCTTGAGCTTCCCAAGCTGTCGTACCAACATCGAACGCCCTCACCGTCAACTCTCCCAAAATCGCCATAATGGAGGATCTCCCACCCCCAGTGCAGGGCCCGACCGCGAAGGAGAAGAAGTATGTTTACTGCAAACACTTCTATCAATACTAACAAGAGCAGGTACGACCGTCAACTACGCCTCTGGGGAGCCACCGGCCAAATCGCACTCGAGAACTCACATATCCTCCTCATAAACTCTGGGCCGGGAGTCGTTGGTGTAGAGACGCTCAAAAACCTCGTTCTGCCCTGCATCGGTAACTTCACCATCCAAGATTCGGCCATCGTCAGCGAAGCAGATCTAGGTGTCAACTTCTTCCTGGAGGACCAGCATTTAGGAGGCTATCGGGCTGAACATACGTGCAATCTGCTCAAAGAGCTGAACCCAGATGTGGACGGCCATTTCATCACAGAGGTTGGTCAAACGACGTCTTGTCGCGTGCTCCGCTAATCGGATCAGCCTCTAGAGTCATGGCTGGCGCAACCTGACGCTCTGCGACCATATACCCTCATCATCGCGACCGCGCCTATCCGTCCCGAAATCCTCGCCAAGCTCTCCGATCACGCAAGCGCTGCGCTCATTCCGCTATTCTACGTCCATTCAGTCGGCTTCTACGCACACTTCTCCGTACACCTACCTCCAGCGTTCCCCATCGTGGACACACATCCTAGCCCAGAGACCACGTCAGATCTCCGGCTGTTACAGCCATGGCCAGAGCTTGTCCAATACGCGGAGGAGAAGACGGCCGATCTGGACAACATGAAGGCAGAAGATCACGGTCATGTCCCATGGATAGCACTGCTGCTGCACTTCCTCGAGCGTTGGAAGAAAGACCACGGTGGAGAGGTACCACAGACGTACAAGGAGAAGACAGAGTTCAGGACATCAGTAGCGCAGGCTGCGCGCACAAACAACCCAGAAGGTGGCGAAGAGAACTTTGACGAAGCAGTGGCGGCAGTTCTCAAGTCATTGAACCCACCACAAGCTAGCAGTTCCGTCAAAGAGATCTTCACGGCGCCGGAATGTCTTCTGGTCCGCGAGGACTCACCAAGCTTCTGGGTCATCGCCAATGCTATCGGCCTGTTCTACACCAAGTACAACGTTCTCCCGGTACCCGGCTCTGTGCCCGATATGAAGGCGCGATCAGCAGACTATATCCAGCTGCAGAACGTATACAAGTCGAAAGCACGAAAGGACCTGGCGGAGGTGGTGGATAGCGTGCGGTTCCTGGAGCGGAATGCTGGCCGTAGCACGCCGATTGACGAGAAGGACATCGAGACTTTCTGCAAGAATGCTGCACATATGAAACTAGTGCGCGGACGGCCGTTCCACGTTGTGCAAGCAGGCGAGAAGATCAAGTGGGGAGACCGTGCGAAGTCGATCGGTAAGGAAACCCATCTCAACATTTACTACCTCAACTAACGTCCTGTAGCTCAGCTCCTCACATTCCCCGACTCGCAGATCCCGCTGTACATTGCATTCCTAGCATGGGACGAGTTCCTTGCAACACACGATCAAGATGGTCTGGGCGGAGCACCCCGCGTTGCTGGAGAGAGCGATGTTGAAACCGACTCAGAGAAGCTCACTGGGATCGCCTTCAAGATTGCGAACGATCTTGTCAAAGAGGCAAACGCTGACATCGAGGAGGACGAGTACGCGACAATCAAATCACAAATTGGAGAATACACCCGCGAGCTGTAAGTACACACCGGCCCTACATGGAATGAGACAGCTTTCCTACGAAAGCCTCATCGTGGCATTTCAGCAGTAAACAGTCGACTGACCAGACTACAGTACACGAGCTGGTGGCGCTGAACTCCACAACATTGGTGCCCTGACTGGTGGTATTGTTTCGCAGGAGATAATCAAGGCTATCACCGAACAATACGTTCCAGTTGATAATACCTGTGTATTCGATGGAATCAAGAGCAAAAGCACCGTTTTCAAGGTCTAAGAGATGTAATTATGGACTTGAGGTTGGTCAGGAATATCTTCTGGATGATAAGAGTCCAATTTCGCCTATCAGACAGGACGGCTGGGCATAGCATTGCAGATGAGGCGAGTTACAGCATGAGATGAGATGAGTTCGCATAGCGTGGCGTTCATACCTCGCCTTTACCACGTAAAGCTGGCCAATGTAGAATATAAGACTCCTCATACCAAACGGGGCGCAGCAAACAGGTCAAATGTCAACAAAGATTGATGACGGCTTTGTCCATGTAGGAGTGCGCAGAGTGAAAGTGAAGGTACACCTAGCGCATCTGACGCTCTGTCGGAATTTGGAGCAAGCGCGAACAAGGCTGCATGGTCCACTCTGTACCTTTTTGCTCATCTAAGTCCTTCAACTGAGACCTGCACAGTATTTCGCAGATATGGCCAGAATACGCAAAGTAACTTCCAAGCAACCTAGTTTGGGGACCTCTGCCATATCCCAATCGCGGCCCATTCCGGGCGATGACAAAGCAGCAAGATCTCCAGCGCGGTCACGTGGTCGACGTGACGCGATCGAAGCCGACGCGCCGGACCCCAGCCAAACAAATCCAACTGTCAACCCTCTGTCATCCCAAATTCTCCCTGTCTGCGAACGACCCATGGACTCTTCCTTCGACCTCCCCGACTCCACCGATTGGATAAAGACGTCCCTACCCGCGTTCGAACCGCTCGAAGTTGCCTTGCGCTGCGAAGTCTGCAAGGAGTTCTACAACAACCCTGTCATCACGCCGTGTAGCCATACCTTCTGTTCGATATGCATACGAAGATGCATCACCGCGGACGGCAAGTGTCCGAGCTGCAAGACTGGGTGCTCGAGCGACAAACTGGCGCCCAACATTGCGATCAGAGAAGTCGTGATGCGCTTTCAAGAGGCGAGACCCAAGGCCATGGAGTTGGCGCGCGCAGACAAGGAAGAGGAGACCACGAAGGCTAGCAAGAAGAAGCGGAAGCTGGAAGACACAGATATGGAAGACGAGGACAACGTCAGGCATACACGATCGCGGCAGACGCGAACTAGGAGCCAGCGCAACGGAGGCAGAGCTGGGTCGCCAATGGTCGTCGCGGATAGCGAAGACGACGGTGACGACGATTTCATGCCAGATGGCATGGTCAAGTGTCCGATGTGCAGCAAGCCAATGAAGGAAGAGCTGGTCTACAACCATCTGGACATATGCACTGGGCCAGAAAACTCGCAAGGGCGTAGCACCCGGTCAAGGTACGCAGATATATGACAGCACATCTACGTCAGCTGGCTAACGACACCCACTTGTAGGACTAAGACTGCGTTCCCACCCGCTTTCCAAATACGAAAGAAAGACCCCTCGCCTCCACCGACGAGATTATCCCAGCTCAACTATGCTATGCTCACGGAGACTAAGTTGCGGAAGAAACTGCAAGAAATCGGCATACCTACCTGGGGTTCAAAAGACCTGATGAGGCGGCGGCATGTCGAATGGCTCAATATCTACAATTCGAATTGCGACGCCGACGAAAGTGTGCGGAAGAGCAAGAGGCAGTTACTGAGAGAGCTAGACGAATGGGAACAGACACTAGGTGGAAGAGCGGGCACCAAAGAGAACAAAATCATGAAGAAAGAGTTTGACGGTGACGGGTATGCGAAGACACACAAGACCGAATTCGACGACTTGATAGCACGAGCGCGGCAGAAGCGTGCCACACCCAAGACGGACAGCGAAGGACCAACAGAGCGGAACACGCCCTCGGAGGAGCAACATACAGAATCACAGAATCGCCAATCATTGTCAGTCAACGGTACCGAAACTTCCTTCCACGGCCCATCGTCGACGCAAACACCCTCAGATATACATCCACATCCCTCGAATAATCCCAATCCTCACGGAATGAACGGCACAGCGCTCGCAAGTATAGACGCAAAAGCTGCGGAGGCCAATAACATACCCGTCAAAGTTACTGCATCAACGCTCGAGCATCCAGTGGAAAGTGTAACACGGCGTGGGTCAGCGGCCATGGAGGGGATACAAAACTCTTTAGGAAGTCCCAGTCGCAAGATGTCCCTGCTTACACTTCCTGAAGAGCCGGTCAGAGACGCGGAGGGAGGCACGGCTGTGTAATAATAGGTAGTTGCGATGTTTGGCAACGAAGCTTTGGCAAGTCCAGCGGTTGAAAAGGCTCTCTTCACTTCGAACCCAGTCATCACTTTCACACGTCCAATTCACTCGCACGCCATGCTTCCCCTTAGCATCTTAGTATACGTTACCGTGGCGCTCGCTATCTCTCTATCTATACGTCACATGTTACAACCCACCGATCGTTAAAGATAGCGATACCTCCAGCGGTGAATCATCGTGATCGAACGGTGTCATTCAGAAACGACTCGTATTCCAACTCATTAATTACAATGCAAACATCCAGCACAGTTTCTCCTCTGGTTGGACCACGCCCTGCTCCACAAAACCGCACAAATACCAATCCAATGGGACCACGAGAAAGACGAGCCGAGTACATGGCGGCGCGCAGAGCAACCCCAAACCCGGGCCAGCACGCCTACAATGACCCCGGATATGTCAGTCCAACTCCCCCTCGCGGCTCCAGACGCACCAGCCTCCCGTCATCCACACCAGGACGAGGATCCACATCACCGGGAGCCCCATATGCCCGATACAGGGGAGAAGACAACCTGCCCAACGATGTCTTACCATGGGTTCTCGATCCACCTAGAGGAAGGAGAACGCCTACACTGAGAAGAGCGCCGAATATACAATGGGATCGTTCGGGAGGACTCCGCACAGTGCCGAGTTTCACTTCAACGGGAGGGTCTGCCACGGAAGATGATGTCGGTGTTGATGGTCGGGATGGAGATGGACAGCCAGAAAGCAGCCGAGCGGCAGCGTCTCGCCCACGCTCTCACAATATTTATCCCCGACAACCCCAGAGAGGGCTAAACGGTAAGACTACTCACATGCCATACGACTACATCCTACTGATCAGTGGTACAAATAGTTCCTCCACTGCATGAAGACGACTCGACTCGCCCACGCTCTTCAAATCCAACCCTTGTTCGCCAACTCGAAAGAGGCGAGCTACATGAACAGCTACTAGATTGTAAGACTACCACCATCACCCTATATTTATGATCTTGACTAATCAGCAATACCTATAGTCCCTCAGCCTCCTCAAAACAACACTCAACTCCGCTCGCGATCCCCACCCAACCCCCCGCCCCGCGTCTCACTCGACTCAGAAACCATAAACCCACTCCAAGATTTTCGACCCCATGCCTTGAGTCCCGTAGAAGAAGAGGTTCGCAGGAAGCCAGTTCTTGCCGGAAACGTCCCAGACCTAGTCAAGTCGCGCCGATACCGAAATCGCCGACATGCCACAGATTCACCACCGACACCCTCGGAACCAGGTTCCCCACGACCTCGGCCCCGTGGCAGACACTATCTACCCGATGAGTACGACGGCGATAACGCCTCACTGCGCGAAGCAGAAGCCTTGAGTGTCCAGCATGTGACCCATACAGAAGTGCAACGGAGCGAGAGGACCATCGGTCCGCCCCCAAGTCGTGACAACAGACCAGAGGCTGGGCTTACCGAGGGAGATCCCATGCTGGACAGGCTTTGGCGAGAATGGGAAGAGGATTATGACGAGCTTGCTCGACGGGTACGCAAGAGGAACAAGGAGAAACATTCGTTCAAAGGGAAGGCGAAGAGGTGTTGGCGCAAGGTCAAGAAGTTCCTTGGGAAGCGCATAAGGGATGAAGAGATGTGGGTGTAGGGCATGTGGTACAAATGTGTCTATTAGTTCATTTCTAGTTGCCGACGCCGTTGTAGCGCCTGGAATATCAATACTGATCGATCGTGCTACTCTATCCTATATCTGACAAAAAGTGATTCATCTGCACACTGCATTCGCTAAAAGACATAGTAATACCATCTCGGCAGAAGAGCCATGTTCCTCATTGGCTTACTGATACCAACTCTGCTCATCATAAGTAAAGCCTTGCATGCCCATACCATTAAATCCAGCTACACCGAACCCATTCAAACTTGGGGCCGGAGCAGCACTCGTGTTCCCGTTCGTATATCCATTGACCCCATTGCCACCCACAGGCCCCCCACTCATCTCACTGCTCATAACAGGCGCATTGGTGTTACCCTGGAACGCGCCCGCTGGGCTTGTAGTGTTTGCAAACCAGTTCGCAATGTCGTCGATTCCTTGAGGATTCCAGTTCTCGAAGTCGGTCGCGAGCTGTGTCTGATCGCGATAGATCCAGTCTTGGCCTTCTCGTAGCAATTGGTCGACGCCACCGAAGAGCTGGCTTGGAGAGCTGCCAGCGGTGGTCTGACCGTCAACGGAACGCCGACCTTGTGTGGACGCCGGTGTTGGTGCGTTGAGAGAGTTTGATGAATTTTGTGGTGTGCTGACCTGGTGCTGATTGCGCATGTAAGCCAGGGCGTTTGCGTCGGAAGGAGGTATGGTGTGGGTGCTGGAGGGGCGCGTGGAAGGATCATTGCTTACGGAACTGGAAGTGTTGGCTGTGGCTTGGGCAAAGAACTGGGGTGTTGCCATGTTGGCCATGTTCATGCTGTATGGCTGGAGGCTGGGTGATGTCTGGCTCGCAGGCGACGGATGCTGATCTCTCATCTGTACGGATCCACGGCGAATTGCTTTCGGCGTGCTGATCTCGTTCCAGGGGCCATACTTAGTATCTGTGCGGGACAGCACTGTGGCAGCTTCTTCTGGCAGATCGACTTTCCAGCGTTTGGCCAGGACACTGAGGATGCCGAGCGTCCGGCGAGCACAGAGCCAGCCTTCTGCTATCTCCTCGAGATGCTTGACACCATGTATTATATCGCGCTTCGCATTCTTCTCTGGTAGATTGAGAAGATGTATGGTGCATGCCGAGTGCGTGATGTAGACACAGATGTTGCATATCTGGCGCAAGCCATGCGATCGCTTGTATAGTCGGAGCAACTTCGAGATCATGGCAGCAGCTTGTGTGCATAACTTCCTCGGCGATACACTTGCGGGCAGTGGCGAGTTGTTCGGGTTGTACTTGAGGAACGGCCGGAAAAGATGAATATACAGTAACTGAAAGAACATGCTGTAATTGGATTAGTACGAGTACTGTTCTGAGGCGAAGGGTGTACTTACTGCATGACCAGCATGTGCGGCAATCCGCCCTCCTTCGGCTCCAGCTCCTTTGGTAAGTCCCTTCTCCAAGTCTCCAAACGCATGTGTATCTCGCTCAGCTTCTTCAGCTCCGCCTGTCTGCCCTTGACCTTGTCCATATCAATCGGGTTGTAGAAGGAGTTCATGAGGTCGCTGGAGATCTCACACAGCTTCGATATCTGGAGAGCGACTGCACGCGTCCGACTTGGCTGGGAGTGCGCTTGACTGAGACCGGAGTCTGTGACTGCGCTCCACGTTTCGGCATCTTCGCTGGGAAAGACTTCGAACTTCGGCACTGTAAGGATCGTGTTGGGTAGTTGCGGCAATCGTCCCATGTAATTACTCCAGCATTTGTCGAACAAGAAGCAGCCCCAGAATGTGATCCGCCGCGCGTCCTCTTCGTTGTCATCGATGGTGTCTTTGCTGTGCATACCGAGGTTCAGGCCGAGATCGCAGGCCATGCGAAACGACATGCCACTGTAGACCCAACCCTTTGCTTCCCGCCCGCAACCAGCTTCCCGTACGGACATCAATGCTAAAGCTTGCACGGTCGTCAAAGCTGGCATCTCGTGCAAATCGTCCTCCATGATCAACCGCTTAGCTTCTTTGAAGAAATGGTCGCCTGCCGTGGCAGAGTCGTCGCGGACAGCCCGGGCTGCAGGCCACGATGTGAAGTGACACCCCAGTGCTAGCATAGCATTGACTAGTAGCGGCGAACAGTATTGTGATTTCCTCCCGGATCCCAGCTGCGGTTTGCCTTGTTGAAATTCTTGCAGGAAGAGATTTTTCGACAGCGTAGTGAAGAAGCTGTAGTGCCAGCAAAAGTACATGCTGATAAGATGCTGCACAAGCTCCGGGTCCGAGGTGACAGTCGTCCACGAGCAGAACGGGTCCTGCGCCTCCTGGTACTGGTCTTCAGAGTACGTGTCCGGCGATTCCGCAGGGTCGTTGCCTTGGCCCAGGTATATGAGATGCGATGTGCCGCCAATGTATCTGGTCGACCCGTCTTCAAGGCGCAGCTCGCCCATCTTCCCGCTCAGCTGACTCTCGAATGTGCCCTTGGCCGGCGCCATGGTAGGCGTTGTGATCGGACTGATGGGCTCATCCTCGTCGTCTTCGCCATTCTCCTTCGCTATGATAGCCTCTGCGACCGAGTCCAAGCTCTCGCATGTCCGTATCTGGTGTACGAGGTCGGCGACTTCCTCTTCCGGATAGTTCAGGATAGCTTGAATAAGCGTCTGGAGGGTGGAATTGCGCGTCTTGAGGTTGTCGATGTCCTTCTTGTAGACGCCTTTGCGGCGGTGGTCCGAATTCGGGTCGTAGATGCACGGCGTGTTGTAGACGGCGGCACATGCAGAGCAGGCGGGAGTGGTACCGTCGCACTATGCGGCAGATTAGCGACTGCTCTCGTACAGGGCGCGTGGTTCCGAGGGGGTTGGTGATCATCCGGAGAATGTGTGTATACGCCGGAGAAAGGGCATCAGGGCCAGTTCCCGTTACCTAACATACCTTGGACTTGCGCTTCCTGCATGGCACGCAGGCGGACGAGATGCAGCGGCGCTTCTTAGAGTCCTCGCTTCCGGCATCCCTCTTGCTCCGGCGTCCCTTCTTGTTGGGCGTGTCAGAGGCCGGTTGCGCGTCCGCAGTGGTGTTGTTCTCCATTACAGGTCTTGTCGGTTTACCGGAGAAGCAAATTGTGGGGGAATGGCGGGGCGCGCTTTGACGGGCCTCTTCTCACGCGACATTAATCAGCTTGCAGTGGATATGGCAGGCTGTCGAGGTCCGGGGCTCTATCTCGCAGGCTCAACATGGCTGGCCAAGGACAGGGAAGCGGGCGCAATCACGTCGGAATCGGCGTCGCATTGGGCTGGTGATGAGTGCCTACGCGACCGAGCTGCGTCGCTGAGGTACCTCGCTATCAGCAGCCCGCTGATTGGCTGGCTCTTCGGCCCTTATCTGGAGACTCTTCTTAGCCGGGCGAACGCGTCCATGACTGCAGCAGAGGCGCGATAAAGCAACGAGGTAGTCGCACTTTTGCATCATTCGATAGCTTTTTAGCCCAAAAACAAATTCCCATCATGGACCCGGGAGATCTCCAGCGCATCGTTGGACGCTGGAGAAATCCTAGGAGTGCTGTGTAGCCCGCCAGGCCATCCCGAAATCAAACTCCACGACGCCAAAACCAACGCCTGTAGTCCCCAAACCGACCCAAGAAAGTTCAAATTCGCACTTTTTAGACGCCTGTATACCTCAAATCCCATCGAAATCCCGTACCACACTAGAGATCGTCGGCATAGCCCTCGTCATCACGATCAGCCCTGAAACCACCGCGTGGATCGGGGTTATCGACCATGATGAAAGGCTTACCATCGGGGTCCTCCTCCAAGTTGCCGAACAATCGCATCAGCGTGCGTGTGTCCATCCTGCTCGTTGTTAGTTATGCGTCGATCGATCGCCAAGAAAAATCAACACGTACTTCTTCATAGTCTTGCCATCGTCCTCCATGATCGCAGCAATCTCCTTGTCCTTGCGATCTTGCATGCCGATGAGATGCTCGTCGACCGTGTTCTTGACGCAGAGACGGCTCATGAACGTCTCCTCGCGCTGGCCGATGCGGAACACGCGGCAGAAAGCCTGCTGTTCGGAGGCCGAGTTCCACCAGGGATCGATCATGATGACCTTGGACGCCATGGTCAGGTTGAGGCCCACTGCAATGCGAGTTAGCAAAGCAGCTAGTAAGAGTATTGGGAGTGCTTACAGCCGCCACAACGCAGAGACGCCAGCATTATCTGGCAATCTGGGTTCTCGGCGAACGAACTGATGGCCTTATCGCGGGCGCTCAGGCTCATTTTGCCATGGTACTGCGCAATATGTTTAGCAACAATCTACAAAAGCTTGAGGATTTGGGTAGTGCCGGGAGGCATTCGCGGTTGATTTCAGCGTCAAACGAGCGGACGAAAGGGCATGTCGCTGTCTGGCTGGTACTTACTTCTGCAAACTGCCAACCTTCTTTCTTGAATACCTGTGCCAGAATGCGAATCCTGTGGGCTGTTAGCGTCTGAATCGCGGGAATCAAGGAGTCAAAGCTACTCACATGGCCAGAAACTGCGTATAGACGATGATCTTGACTTGTTCGTTCTCCTTGAGCCAGTTGATGATCTGGCTCTTGACAGCAATGGTCTTCGCAGAGGGTAGGACGTCATCGCCAGCGAAAGTAAGCCAATTCTCTGCAATGTCTTCTTGACCGAGGCGTGCGCGCTGCTTTTCCTTGTTCTTCTTCTTGTTGGCTCGTGTGCCTCGTGCAGGTGCATCAGGTGTATCGTCCTCATCTACCTCACAAGGAATAATATGGGTAGGAGTAGCACCACAAGCCTTGCATGGTGGGATTATATCCGTGTCTTCCTCGGCCATTGGAAGGATCACCTCATTCTCGTAGCAAGGCTCCTTGCAGATGAGGTGACCACAGGACGTTATATGCGGCGCTCGGGGTTGCTTTCCACACCAGCCGCATTTCGCCTTTTGCTTTGTCTTCTCCCAACTCTCACCTGTCTTGAGGCTGCCGAGGAAGGGCTTGAAGTTGAAGTCCTTGCCGAATTCACCGC